GGCTTTGTCTGGCAAAACTAAAAATCAACTTTTCAGCCAAATTTTGACCGTTACTTCACTGTACGTGGGGCCCGCCGCTGAGAGGACTGGTCCATTATTACGGCTGAACGGTCAAATTGTGGCTTAAAATTCGGATGGAAATCTGGGGCAGTCTCATCGATGCATGTTGTTTGTCTCCAACATCATTTATGCTAATCTTCATAAAATTGTGACCTATACCTAAAATTTCTAAAAAATAATAATGTTAGGATCAAGAAGATTTCTTATTTTAGATGAATTATTAATTTATCGATATATTAATAATTTATTAATTTATAGAGTATTTTATATTTTTATTATATTTTACCATAATACATGTATGAAACTTAAAAAAATTTAAAAAATTCAACCCTTGGTTAGGGTCCATTATTTTCAAAATATATTCTCTCAAAATTCATTTTCAATCGCACATTCTTTTAAAAAATAATATTACACGTAAACTCAATTTTTTTACTATATTTTATACTATGCTTGATGTACAGGGCCATATACATCACAGGGGGCCAGGGTGGGAGAGAGGGCTCTCGTGGCCCTATACATATATCTTTATTCTTAATTTTTAGCCACACACCTATAATATATTAAATATCGCATCAAGTGAGAATAATATTTTGGACGATTTTAGCCCTACTACAATTTAATTATTTCAATAGTACATTTCTTTTCGTTTTTCAATATATATTTAATTGAATATTAATTATTAAACATGAGAACAGTTAAATCAATAATTGAATTGCATGAGAACAGTTAAATTGATTAATGAACATGAAATTTAATTAATTTGAATCAATGAATAAAAAAAAAGAATAATGTATATTAGGGGTGCCATAATGGACACATGGCACCCCACCATTGGAGAGTGTGTCCATTATGGACACCATTATGACACCCCTAATGTACAAGAAGAATTATCCTTTAAACAAAGGGGGTGTAAGTGAACCAATACGAAATTTAATTAATTTGAATTAATAGATATAGAAAAATAATAATTTATATACATTTAAACAAATAGATATACATGAACCAACATGAAATTTAATTAATTTGAATCAATGAATATAGAAAAAGAATAATTCATATACATTTAGACAAATGACGTTATATCATAGATTAAATGAATAATATTGAAATAAATAAGTGTACATGAATAATTTATCTACTCCTATAATAATTGAATAGCTCCCAAATCATATGATCTTTAATAATTTATATACTTTTGGAATAATTTATGATAAAATGAATAATCTTGAAAATAAATACGTGTTTATGAATTTGAATAATTTATGTACTCATAGTATAATTGAATAACTCTCAAAATATGTGTACATGAGCTTGATGAATTAATGTCATATTTAATATATCTATAAATAAATGGCAATTAGTATACATGCACATACATAAAATAATTGAATTGTAATATTTCTAGAGTAATTGAACAGCCCTGAAAATATATAAAGTGTACATGCGTATACTTGAAGAATTAATTGTTTGAATTATAATATGATATATATAAATTATTGTTAATTATTATCTTACACGGAAATAAATAATTGAATTGTATAAAAAGTTCATTTTATATAAACAGTTTTTTAACTATTTTTTATATTCACTGATTTACAAATATCCTTTTTACAATGTTTAGAAAGTATTTCAAAATAACGTGTAACACACGTTTAGTCATGACTAGTTCTCTAAAAATACTATTTCAAAATATATTTAAAATGGAGCCCAAACATGGCTCAAAATGTGATGAAATAAAAAATTTAATCCGTTAGCACACAAAAAGAAACATTAATGTACACGCATTGACTTCAAAATTTAATATTTTGGAAGATTAGTCACTCTAGTTATTTCATGTGCACGTGGTACATAGTTCTTGTCTAAGCTCCATTAAAAACCTCAAGGGGAAAATATATTTTTAAATTGTGTTTTTTCAAAGAATGTGCAATTTAAAAAAAGTTTTAAATTTACTTGTAATATTAGTCCCCGTTTGGCCCCCATTATTCGAAATTTTAATGGTTGAACTATTGTGTTTTTTTTTTTAAAATGTGTGGTTAAAAAAAGTTTTGGAATTACATTTCATATTATCTTTATTGGAGAATGTGTAGATAAAAATATAGAGAAAAATGAATTATAATTTTAATGATGACCAAACATGGACTTATTTTATTGGAGAATGTGTTGTTAAAAAAAAATACATTTTTTGAAAAAATGGAGGCCAAACATGGGGATAATTTCTACTGTCATTAGTATTAAGTTTTATGAATTTAAGTAGTTGCTATTTTATACATTTGTTGGGTTTTAAAGGATTTCGTAAAAAATAATTATCTTATGCACTTAGCGGGGTTACACTGGCTCAAGTTGGTAATGAAAATTTTTATTATTTAAACGAGATTATTAATTTATCGAGATTTTACTGTATTAGGAGTAATCAGATTATTAGGTACGTTGAATTGGGATTTAGTATACATGCACATACATAAAATAATTGAATTGTAATATTTCTAGAATAATTGAACAACCCTCAAAATATATAAAGTGTACATGCATGAACTTGAAGAATTAATTGTTTGAATTATAATATGATATATATAAATTATTGTTAATTATTATCTTACATGTAAATAAATAATTGAATTGTATAAAAATTCATTTTATATAAACAGTTTTTTTAACTATTTTTTATATTCACTGATTTACAAATATCTTTTTTACAGTGTTTATAAAGTATTTCAAAATAACGTGCAACGCACGTTTAGGCGTGACTAGTTCTCTAAAAATACTATTTCAAAATATATTTAAAATGGAGCCGAAACATGGCTCAAAATGTGATGAAAGTAAAAATTTAATCCGTTAGCACACAAAAAGAAACATTAATGTACACTCATTGACTTCAAAATTTAATATTTTGGAAGATTAATCACTCTAGTTATTTCATGTGCACGTGGTACATAGTTCTTGTCTAAGCTCCATTAAAAACCTCAAGGGGAAAATATATTTTTAAATTGTGTTTTTTCAAAAAATGTGCAATTTAAAAAAAGTTTTAAATTTACTTGTAATATTAGTCCCCGTTTGGCCCCCATTATTTGAAATTTTAATGGTTGAACTATTGTGTTTTTTTTTAAAAATGTGTGGTTAAAAAAAAGTTTTGGAATTACATTTCATATTATCTTTATTGGAGAATGTGTAGATAAAAATATAGAGAAAAATGAATTATAATTTTAATGATGACCAAACATGGACTTATTTTATTGGAGAATGTGTTATTAAAAAAAAAAAAATACATTTTTTGAAAAAATGGATGCCAAACATGGGGATAATTTCTACTGTCATTAGTATTAAGTTTTATGAATTTAAGTAGTTGCTATTTTATACATTTGTTGGGGTTTAAAGGATTTCGTAAAAATAATTATCTTATGCACTTAGCGGGGATACACTGGCTCAAGTTGGTAACGAAAATTTTTATTATTTAAACGAGATTATTAATTTATCGAGATTTTACTGTGTTAGGAGTAATCCGATTATTAGGTACGTTGAATTGGGATCTTAGCGGGGTTACACTGGCTCAAGTTGGTAATGAAAATTTTTATTATTTAAACGAGATTATTAATTTATCGATATTTTACTGTATTAGGAGTAATCATATTATTAGGTACGTTGAATTGGGAAAAAAAAAAAGGCAAAATAATTGACAAATTTTCACATCTTCTTTTTTTATCTAAATCGTGTCTAATCAAATTTAAAAGATTGTATGAAACTTATTTTCAGGACACATGACTATATTATTACTCTAATTTGAATTTTTTTTATTGATGATCGAACGATCATATAGGTGATTTATGCAATGAGATATTGAAATAGCAATAGGTGAAGTGATCGACCATCTTGAGACATGGGAGACGTACTATGGGATGAAATGCATTTATTCTTTTGTGATATGAACAAGTAACAAATAGAATCTAAAGGAGACAAATTTGTCCATTATTTATATTTTATACAACAATTACAAATTTAGAAAACAATTAACACAAAGGGGATTTAGCCCTGTTTGGTTTAGATTAAAATTCAATTAAAATTTCAAATTAAAATCAACAATTAAATTTAATAACACATTTTATGGGATTCACAACTTTTAAATCATACATTTCATTAACTTTTATTAAAATCTACTAAAAATTTGATTTTAGTCTATACCAAACATTGGTCTCACTCCTTTCTCATCACACGTCTTTAATTATCATATATAATTAAACGGTACTTACTATGTGCCTAACACAGGAACACGGCACAAGTCTCCCTCCTTTCTCATCATTCATCTTTAATTTAAAACATGACATGTACTAAAAATATATTAAATATCTAATCTACTATCATAGAATCCTACGATCTATTACTAATTACGCTACATACTAACTTTCTCATCTCAAATGAGTCACATGGCATGCCCCCGTTCAAAACCAGAACTGATTTACTACCTTAACCTAATTTCAATTGATTAATGTGGAAATGGAATTAATTGGTTACTTATGTTTTTCAGTTGATTTTTCAGTTGTAGTCGCCGCCGCCGCCCTTTGTTTTCCTAATTGAATTCCATCTATTATATGTAAACACGCCATGATCAACGTGTCACACAATGTGAAAGAGGGTAGGAACGTCATGACGCGTCCAATTTCTTGTTCCTCATTCAACATTGAGCCTTCAACTTCCAATTTTGTGTTCTAGACCTTGTCAAATTGAAAAATTCAATATATCTTTCTCCTTTTTTTTTTAATAGTTTTTACCCCATTATTGATTAGCCGTCAATACGAGTAATGATATTTGTGCACTATTGTGTACATAATTGTATAAAGATAGGCGATATAGAAAAGAGAGAAAAAAAATCCAGACTATACAAAATATTAGAAAAGAACTCTTCAACTTGAAATTATGTTTTCTCGTTTTCAACAATTTTAAAATTTTCAAAATATACTCTGCTCGATCCATTTCAACCATTTAAAAGGGAAATAACTAAATTAATAGAACTGCCTCGACTTTAAAACGCAGTCAATGGTCGAAGGCAAATATTGTACGAATAACAATATAGACTTGAGAAGGTGGCAAGAGGGCTGTGGAAGCTTCCAAAGAGGAGGAAACTTCAATGTGCAGACAACCAAACACGTTTTGTCAAAGTGTCAACAAGAAACTAATAGCATATTTCCATGAACCCTAATAAAAATCAAAGAAAATTATACTATAATAATAAGTAATAGTATGTGCGCAAATTGGTAGTTTTCGAAAAGTAAATAAAATTTTTAATAAAACGTGTGGGCTCCACTCAGACATCCAATGATCCCTATATAAACACAAACCCGGCACTGAAAGTTTCTCACAAAACCCATTTGGTTCTCTTCATTAAGTTCTTCACCAAATTATTTTCCAAGAAAATATCTCACAAACAACCAAAAACAATCCATGGCTTCTCCAATGAAACTGTCTTTTACCCTCTTCTTTGCATTCTCCATGTTCCTTCAAGGCACACTAGGTACAAATTTATATGCACTTAGCATAATTACATATATAAGTCATAACTACGTAAATATCTAACGATTAATGCGTGTACATGTCTGTTTTTCTGTGTTTTAGGGGAGGTGATTTGTGAAACTTTGCCTACAAATCTCTGTTCCTTTTCAATTGCATCTTCTGGTAAAAGGTGTGTATTGGAGAATTACAGAAATCAAGAAGGAAAGCTGGAATATACATGCAAAACATCAGAAGTGGTTGTTGAAAGAATTGCTGGATATATAGAGTCGGATCAATGTGTTAATGCATGCGGGGTTGATCGGAGCTCCGTCGGAATTTCTTCCGATGCCTTCCTTGCCCCGCAGTTCACCGCCAGACTTTGCTCGCCGGCTTGTTACCAGAACTGCCCTAACATTGTTGACCTCTACTTCAACCTGGCTGCTGGTGAAGGTTAGAATTTATTATGTTTTGTTAATTATCTCGTCTAAAATATAAATTTATTTTTTTAATTAGAGATGTACATATGTGTAGAGTTAAATATTGTGTTTTTACTATTTACGATTTGATAATTATAAATTGACTTGCTATTTTTTTATTTTTTTTTTAAAAAAGGTTGAATCCCAACTTTGAGGGCCCCGCCCTCCCCGCTTTGTAACTCCGACTGAAGAAAAAATATATATTTTAAAATCTACTGATAAATAAATGATCGATTCTTTCTTTGGAATAAATCTTTCAGTATACCTAAAGACTGTAAAAAGGAGTTTTATGCTTTACTTGGCCCTCAATTTCTTGAACTTTAACTAAAGTAGTTTCTTTTTAGAAAATGGACAGATCACCAAGTCCTTGTTCGTCTGGACATTAAAATAAAATTTTTAACAAATTTTGATAAAAGTTGATGAAATATGTGATTAAAAGGTTGTGAATCTCGTAAGTATGTGTTTAAAATTAATTATTGACTTTTATTTAAATTAAAATTAAAATTATCATCAAACAAGGGTTAAATTTTCTATTTCTAGAAGTTGTTTTTACAATAATTAATGATGTTGTACAATAATTTTCAGGAGTATATTTGCCTGCTCTTTGCGAGAAACAAAAGACGAACCCCCACCGTGCCATGTTGGCGCTTTTGAGCAGCGGTGCAGCCCCTGGTCCTGTGGCTGTTGACTCCGCTGATTTTGTCGCTTATGCCCCGGCTCCAACATCTTCTGATTTCGTTAGCGATGCTCCTGCTTCGGCTCCTGCTCCCGCTCCTACATTTTTCTAATTAATTTAGCCAATTTATAGATGAACTATACTATTCTCTTTGATGAGAAAAGAGAATCAAATATATACACAGTGTTTTGAATTGGATTTGATGCGTTATGAATATATTGATGAAAATATTTTTTTGTACTAATATATTTGATTTTTGAAATTGAGTTGAACATTATTTTCGTTAACCTTCTTTATTATCAATTTCTACTATTGTGGAATGTTGTACTTTATTAATGTCGCATTCGTCGATTTTATATGTAGATGATTTTATTTTCGAGGTAATCTAAATACTTGTGTATAAACGTTGTGTTGTCAATTTATTCTTGAAATCAAGTGGATCAAAATAAATCATTTGCGGTACAATTCAACTATGAATGATGTTAGATCTTCCGTGACAATATTCATGTCAATTTAGGACTCATTTGATAGGATTTATGCTTTTGCTTCTACCTTTTATAGAAAATTTTCACTAAAAAGTTACCTTAATTAATTTTTAGAAATTGATTTTTAAAAGAATTTTCTCACCGTCAACTTCCTTTAAAAGTTTTCAAATGAGAAGCACCACTATAAATTTATCAATAAATTCAAAAGCAATTTTTGGTCTCAAAAACTCCTTTTAAACTACTTAAAAATTGATCTCCTTTTAAATTCTCAAAAGCTAAGCCAAACACGCCTTAATTATTTGAAATTAGAGATCACTTTTTAAGTAGTTGAAATTAACAAAATTAAGTGGGTGTTTGGTGAAGATTAAAATTAAATTTTTAGTAAATTGTGATAAAAGTTTTTAAAATGTGTAGTTAAAAAATTGTGGGACTCATAAAAAATATGATTAAGATTGATTTTTGACTTTAACTTAGATTAAGATTTGATTTGATTTTAATCCGAAATAAACATAACCTTAAAATTAAACATGACGTATGTTATGTGTCGCTGTTTATCTGGGCCGCTTTATTGTACGCACTGTATGAGAAGTGCGGGAGGGGTTTACACCCCCCTTAAAATTTGCCGGACGATTCTAGTCATTGCATACAGTTGCTGCTTTAGCCTTTAGGCGCTGCCATAAACCCATGCTAATAATATAAATACAAAAACAATGGAATTGGAGACCCAAGACATCGCCGTCGATGTAGACACCGTCATAGACGGATGTTCGCCTAGAGATGACAACGATGTGGAAACGCTGGGAGATGGCAGCGGCCAAGGGAGTAATAAGTCATTGGACAGAATCAAGGGGCCATGGTCACCCGAAGAGGACGCGATACTGAGTCAACTCGTCAGCAACTTCGGAGCTAGGAATTGGAGCCTCATTGCTCGAGGAATTCCTGGCCGATCTGGAAAGTCATGCCGCCTCCGATGGTGCAATCAACTAGATCCTGCCGTCAAACGCAAGCCCTTTACTGGTTATTTCATACCCATATCGCATTTTTTATATAATTATATATATTTTTATTTCTATGCTTGTTTTGTGGAATCTGCAATTTTTAATCTGTTAAGGGTTAGATGAATTTCTTTTGCTTTAATATTGATGTAAAAAATCGGATGTTGCTGGAGTGAGCTTCTCCATTGCTTTGATGACCTGAAAAGGGCGGGATACTAATCTGTTGCCTCTCCAATACCCAAGTCAGTACAAGGATATGAGATAGTAATTGAAGAAAATTATTGCATGTATTCTACAATATATGAGAATATACCTCTTCTTATAGGCTGTCAATGGATGTGACCATGTTAGTTTGGGAGAAACTAGAAATTTGGATTACTGAGATATTTTCAAGCATATTGCCATGATTTATGGAGGATTTTAAGTTTTCTTTTTCCCCAACTCTCTAGGGATCCTGTTAGAGGCGTATGGTTTTTTGGTGCTCGGGTCTAGGTATTTGGTTTCATTATTGCTTATAGTCGAGTAAGTTTTTTTCTTGGTAGTATCAACTATGAAGTTCGGAGAGCCTGTTTTTGGCCATTTTACAATGTTTAACTGCATTGCAATATGGTAAACTCAAGGAATATTTGCTTCAGTTTTACTGAAGCAAAAGTGTAAAACTTTGTTCTCTGTGCCACTGTTCAATTTCAAATCAGTTATTATGGGAAGTAGATTTCAAATTCTTTGTTTGAATCAATTGATTCATATCTTCTTATGCAGCGTAAGTATATGTAAGTTCGATCATCTCTTTTAACCTGATATTGACAGTTTTAAACGGTCTTTCCATGAGAAAGTATTGTCATAGCCTACTGATGCAGCTGGACAAGGAAAATGTTGAACACAATAATCTACAAATCATTGATTCGAAATTGATTACCGTTTTGGACTGAAAGAGAAGTGGAAGTTTCCACACTTAAAAATTTTATTCAATGAAACAAGTCGCCTTTAACTTTGTTGGACACTACTCGTTCTACTAACTTCACTTTATATCTTTGGGGCTAACTGAGGCAGCAAGAATATATAACCAGCCTGAGTTTTCAGCTGTTTTACATCTGCTTGATTAATTTCTTAGGCTTGGCATTAGCTAAGTCAAGCAGCTCAATTAATGGCACTATCATTATTCAGAATCATGACGATCGTCCACATTAGCACTCACCTAGAACCTTCTCTTGAGGACTTAAAATGATTTGGCCATGTAGACCGCTCAGGAATTTTAAAGAATCAAGTTGAAGTGAGGAGTTAATATCTTTGGGTTACAGTTTTCTGATTTCATGTAACTAGATTGTACTCTAATCACAATCGCGTGTTTCATAAGGAAAATGCTTTTTGTATATAACTAACTACATAATGTTTTATATAATGATGAAGTATCAAAATATAAGTGGGGAAGTTATTTGATTGTTGAAATTTCGATTCAATTAAATATCGCCACATCATCTGTAGGTAAACCATTATGTAAATTGTCATGTATATGTAGCACAACCCTTTTCATAATTATAGTGGTAAAAGGCATCAACAACCCTTATTTGATTTGTTATGGAGGAGCAGTGACTCGTTATGCACACTCATATCACATATTATTGCATTCTTGTCTAGAGACCTTGCTGCTTGATTGAAATTTATGATCTCCTTGAAAACATAATTAGAAGATGCCAATTTTTTGTTTTGATTCAATATCCATTGCTAATTCTCAATAAAACTGTTACATTGATGATTTTTATCCCTTCTTTGCCTTTCATTTTTGGTTCTTGTTACTAAATTCTAATTTCTTTATGTTTGCTGTGTGGTTCATGCTTGATTGTATAATTAGAAAACTCAATTTTTGCTTTGATTCAATATGAAGTCCTAGTTCTCAATAAAAATGTTACAATTATATTCGTATTCTCCGTTTGCTTTTTATTTTTGTTCCTGTTACTAAATTCAATTTTTTTTTTTATATTTGCTGTGTGGTGTGTGCTTGCTTCCACGTATACTATATCAAGAAAAAGTTGTTTTTCCTAACTTAGCAATTTCATCCTGTCTGGCCTTTCTAGACATGTTCCATCGTATTCATCAATTTTCTTAGTATTTCAGGATTTTGTTATATCAACGCTTTGAAATGTTCCAATATATGTTAGTTGTCACATCTGACCAATATCGCTAATGAGCCAACACTTACAGATGAAGAAGATCGCATCATACTTGAGGCCCATGCTGTTCATGGGAATAAATGGGCGTCAATTGCAAGGCTTTTGCCAGGAAGAACAGACAACGCAATCAAGAACCATTGGAATTCCACATTGAGGCGCCGCTGCATGCAACTTGGAAAATTTAAGTTGGAACCCGTGAATGTCATGGAAGATGCTAGTGCTGAAAAATCAAAAGCATCATCTGACGAAACTCCATCATATGGTGATGCCAACTCATATAAATCCTCTGAAGGGAAAGATGTTAACTCTCTGGAACATGTGAGTGACAACCACGACCACCATGAAGAGAGGGCTCAATCAGAAGGTCAATCTATTGACCCACCCATGGACCCTCCCACTCTATTCCGTCCTGTGGCTCGCATTAGTGCATTTACTGTTTGTAGTTCACTGGATGGCCCAGAAAGTTTAAATCCATGTCCAGGGCCCCTTCCCTTGCAAGTTCCCTTAATTCAATCCTCAAACCCAGCTGTTGGAATCAGTAAATTGCTCGAAGGAGCTTATGGTGATCGGTTGGTCCCACACCGATGTGGCCATGGTTGCTGTGAAATTCAAGGTGGTGGGACACAAGTAAGCTGCTTATTGGGCCCTGAATTTGTTGACTATGCTGAACCGCCATCTCTTCTAAGCCATGAATTGGCTGCATTAGCTACGGATATAAGTAATGTTGCTTGGCGTAAAAGTGGATTGGAGAGTAGCAGTATCAATGCCATGGACAATGTGATTGGTGGGATGTAGCAACTGTAATTTACAAATCAGAAATTGAACAGAGTAGAACGAATTAAAATCTAGGTTTTAAAGGGGAAGAAACTAAGTTTGGGGATTGTGCCTGACCTAGTGTCATCTTAAGCGAATAGTCAACTTTTACCTATAAATGGTAACTTTAGGGGCATGAAGTGATGTGAGTTATTGTATTTACATGATTTACCAAAATTAATAGCTGTATATGTCAGCAGTAGAACTGAGCTGCACTAATGAGATCATGGACCTAGAATCATATATTTAATTATGCGATTTTTTGTTGGTGGGAGCGGAAAGGTTGTGTAGGATAAACATCTGAAAGATCATTTTCTTGCTCTTTAGCCAGTCTAGACGAGGAAACTGATGCACAGTTGCTATATTGGAGTAAGAGGAGATGGTCGTTGATGCGGAGGCATAACATTGATGATCAGCATGCAAAGTCAACGTGTTTTTCGAATAGTAGCCTCCCGTCCAAGTTTCTTCCCTTTGCCTCTTAGAAATATTGAATTCAATGAATGAATTCTGCTGTTTATGTTTTCGTTTTTTTGCTTACTGTTTGAACTTGTAATGCCTGTTTAAATGGGAACTGCTGGATGATCGGAAAACCTTTGATCTTTGTCATCTGTTTGAATAATTCTTTGATGATCTTGAATAATTGTTCCTAGACTCCATTCTTAATTTGTTTGGATATGAAAAAAAGGCTCTGCTTAAATTTGTACAAGGTTAGGAAAAATATCACTAGATGTACAAGGTTAGGAGAATTATCATTATTAGTCAAATATGGAACCTTTTGTACTTCTTTACCACCCTGTTAGATTGAGAAGTGTTACCCGCAGCAATATTTGAAACAAATATTTCAACATGGATTTAGGCCTGTGAATAAATTGGATGGTAATGTGAAGTCTTTTTTATTTCTACGTTCCTATCTCAGTGGTTGAAGGCTTTTGATCAATGATGTTAGGTCTGAGCAAGTCTTGACAAGTTTTGTTTCCAGGATCATTACATCGAGTTGTAATTGGGGTCATTTTGACGGGAGTTGATTGTTGGTTACGCATGTTATAAAATATCATGGAAGTGGAATATGTCTACAGCTCAAGGATTTTCAAGGGAGGTGCTCGAGCACAATTTTTAGAAGAAGTATGCTCGATGATCATCTAAAAAGTGCTTGAGCGTATTTTCCAAAACATAGATGCTTGATAATCGTTCAAAAGGTGCACGAGCACATTTTCAAGAATATGCGTGCTTGATGAACATTCAAATTTTAGAACACGTATGCTCGATGATCATCTAAAAAGTGCTCGAGCGCATTTTCTAAAATATGTATGCTCGACAATCGTTCAAAAGGCATTCAAGTACATTTTCAAGAATATGTGCGCTTGATGAACATTCAAAAGTTGTTCAAGCACCCGTCATATCTAGGTAATCGTCCATCCCAGGCTTCGAACACGCATGCTCGATGATTATCTAAAAAGTGCTCGAGCTCATTTTCTAAAATATGTATGCTCGACAATCGTTCAAAAGGCACTCAAGTACATTTTCAACAATATGTGCGCTTGATGAACATTCAAAAGGTGTTCGAGCACCTGTCCATATCCAGGTGATCGTCCGTCCCAGGCTTCCATCTTGTGCCAGGAAATTGCTCAAGCAATCTTATAGGTGTGGGAAATCATATTTTTCCCATTTCATCCTAAATCGCCTAGAACTATGAAATACAATTTATATACAGAAGAAAATCTTGTCTTTCATCGTGTGTTGAGAAAAGAAAAAGGAGAGAGAATATGAGATTTAAAGAACCCGATTGTTATCCAAATTCAATTTCACAATAAAAAATCAAAACACTACAAAATCCTCTATCATGTAGCTTCAGATTTCTGATGAATATGAGAGGTGATTGGAGTTCTGACTAAGGAAAAACAAGTTTGTTCTTGGAGATTCACAAGGGAAAAGAAGTCCAGAGGTTCTTGAACAAGTACTAGAGTGCACAATTGAGTAGCTCTTCAGGTTATTATAGATTGTGAGTTAGTGTCTACTAAGATTAATTGTGTTGGGATCAAATCTGCAAATTCTATCATTAAGAGTTCTTCAAGGATTTTTCATTCGTAAACAATTATTGGTGTTATTTACTATTCAACATATTTACTTCCTTGCTTTGGTGATTGCCATGATAGGAATTTTATTTCTTTTATATCTAGACTATATAATTTGTGACTTGTTGGAGATTATTATGCATAAATTTAAATTCCGCATAGAATTCCTATTCACCATCTCTAGGTGTAAAGTGAGTCGAAACATCGTTTTACAAATAGAACAAGAGAAGAATAGAAGAAAAATAGCTAAAATATCCGTTACCAAGATCCGCAAAATAATTAAAACCATTCCGATCATCGAGTTAGGTATAGCTTAAAACCCTTTTGGAGTATTTAATTTCATTGAATTTACCCCAACCTTTTAAGTCTACTATATTGGTGTATTTAATTTCATTGAATTTACCCCAACCTTGTTAGGTCTATTAGGCTACTTATGTTGGTTGGCCAACAACCCAACTAACAGCTCAGTTCATGATTGATGTCAAGGGCATGTCCTCACTGAAGTATTTTTGTTAAATGTGTACAGGTAAACTATATTATCCACTTCAACGATTACGTATCATTCTAATATTTTTCAGTTTTATAGAAGATAGTAAGGTGAATCGCTTTTGTATGTAAAAGAGTAAACCGAGTTTTTTTTGGATTATTTTAAAATTATTCTGAGTAGTACAGGATTGAACATTTAATTCCTAAATGGCCTACAAATATTTTGTTGATGATGGATGGTTCCAAAGTGAGAGGCATTGTGGGTGCAAAAGTAAGATGAGAAAATAGATAGATGATGGCAGACCAAAAGGTCCAGCGGCAGCACGAGCATTTCATTGCTACTCAACTCCTCCTCAATGCTTATAGTTGGACACTATCCACTATAATAAATCATATTAAAAAAAGTAAGAAAAATTTAAAGTTCAATAACCGTATAGTTTATTGACCTTTAATTTTGCACATCACACATTGACTTTTGATTTTGCTTATTCGATGTGTATTTAACCTGGGTGATTTGATCGAGTTGGGGGGTTCTAGGCAAAATATAGAAGGGGTCTTTTGGAAAAAGGGATTTAAATGGAACAAATTAATCGTTAATAAAAATCAATATTTATTGACGAGCCGAGTGAAATTATCAACAATGATTAATCCCATTCGTGATGTCCATCACACATTGGCTAGTAAATTACCTTTGATAATGTTAAATCAACTGTGATGCTTTCATTGTTGATTGCCACAGACGAAGCACATATTCTTTCTTCACATTTTTATTTGTTTAATATTTCATCAATAATTTAAAATTTATTTTTATTTTGATATCTTTGATAAGGTGAATTACCATTGCAAGGGACTAATATGCAAGGGGTTTGGCCCCTTTGGGTAACAAAAATCAATTCTTTTCAAGATATTCAAACGAATTATATTTGAAAAATCCATTAGAACTTCCTAAAGTATAAAATTAAAGAGTAACTTCCTTAATACCATGGTTGATCTTCATCAAAGTTTCATCAAACCATTGAGAATCACGCTGCTAGTCTCGAAATTTTTCATGTATTCCCCTACTTCTTCTCCTATACTACAATACAAATATACAATCGTCCCTAAGGTTCCCCCACCCCACTCACTCCACCTATCCAACCACCCTGTCTATATTTTAGGAGTAATGTTATTCATTCTCAGTAGAGATGAAAACACAGTCTAAGTTGCTATAAATGATAGGTGAAATGAAAAGTGAAATTAAATGACTTATTTAATTTCACCTATCATTTAATGCCATATTAGCGCCACCTAGACTGTGTTTTCATCCCCAGAGGGGATGAATAGCATNAGTGATATCTGTTTTATGCTACAAGTCTAAGTTTTGAAAAAAAACGAATGAGATTGATGAAATATATGATTAAAAAATTGTGAATACATGTAATGTGTGATTAAAATTAATTATTAACTTCAACTTATTTTTAACAATATTTTTATGAACATGAAACTGGGTCAAAGGTGTTTTTCTTGGCATATTCTTGTGCTTTTCCTTCTAAAACCCACTCCACTTCAGCATTTTCAAAATACATGACTAAAGCACTCAACAATTTTTGTACAAATGGGCAGTTGAATGAATCACCTGATCCTATATAAATTGATTCATTTTGTATTTATACTCTCAGAAATCATAAATGCACTACAAAGAGGCTGAATTTAGCATATTAGGACTGTAAAGATTCAGTCTTTAAGGTTCTATAACACTCCTTTTGCAATGGCTAGTTTAGAAATATCTAGTATAGACTTAGAATGCGGTCGCCGGACCGGCGGAGAAGGGGACAATAAGGAGGAGGGAAGTCTCTATTCCTCCGACGCGGAAGATGGTTCTTGTTACTCTCAAATTTATTCTACGGCTGATGGTGAAGCCTCTTTTGATGATTACAACTTTGCCTGTGGCTCTGGGCATGGCGAAAATTTGGTGGCTGAAAATTCGGAACATGGGCGAAATTTATCTCTGGGCGATTCTTATGATTGTTCTTCAGTAGTGGAAATGGAAATTGGTGAAAATAAAATGCATTTGGGGAAAGTTGAGAGAGATTGTAGGATTTGTCATTTGAGTTTGGTGCATAGTAGCCCAGAAACTGGGGATGCCATTGAATTGGGCTGTTCTTGTAAAGATGATTTGGCTGCTGTTCATAGGCATTGTGCTGAGACTTGGTTTAAAATCAAAGGAAACAAGTGAGTAATCCAAAAGGCTTAAATTTTCTTTTTATTTTTCAAATTGGACGGCTATCACTTTGATTTTCTTGTGAATTTTGATATTGAGCAATTCCCATTTTCGAAAAATCTGATATAATTCTCGCTAATACTCTGCCTACTGATTACTGATTTGTTTCTTAGGTTGTTCTTGTTTGTTTTGAGATTATCAAGACATGGCTGTTATTATTAATTTTCTTTCCTAGTATTTGATTTATGGGATAATAAGTTTGGTAATATCAGTGTACTATGTTGGCCAGAGTGATGATACAGACACCATAATTTAATGTAGTGTAGAAAAATACGTAAAGATATTCTTGATTTAAGAAGGTGGGGAAAAGACGTAAAGCAAAAAATTGAAGGACTGTATAAGCTCCAATTCAAACCGATGATTCCTTGCCATTCTTTTCTTTTTATGGAGTTTAGTTGCTGTCTCATCTTTGAGATTCCCTTCTCTTTATCAAAGGTGAGATTTGACCCTTTGTTTGAAATATTCAGTATTTTTGTGAGAGAAGATTTTTTGCGGGTTCTCCACTTTGTACTGTTTATTTATGATATTGAGATTCCGAAATTTGATATCGCTTTATGTGTTCCATGGCATAAAACTGTTTAGGAATATTTAACGTAAGCTTCATTTTCGAATCGATGCTGAATCTACTTGCATTTATTCGAATAAATCCTAGTGGACCTCTATTTTTATTATCTATTCTATAAAAGCATTGGTGTCGAGATATATTTACGTTGTCAATGTACATAGTGTCGAAAAAATATGATATAGTGGTATACAGATCTGATTTATCCTTCATTCTTTCATGAGTAAACACACATAGACATGTCTGTCCCAATCAGAAGCGATAGCTAGATTCTATATCGGCATGTCTATACGATCTCTTTATTTCTTTTGCATGTTCTTCGTCATCAACTTACTAATTGAATGTCTTGTATTAAGAACTTGTACAGTTTCACAGTCGTCCCAAATCAACTTCTGGAAAAATGTTCATCGCCTTTGTGGAAATAATTAATTGTCTAGCCTTGGAATGATCATTACCATGGATTAGGATATCTATATTAGTGATAAGACATTGTCACCTAACCATCACCATTAGTTAATCTTATAAATTTTTAGTAGCATTTTCACTTGTCATTTTCAGGACTTGTGAAATTTGTAATTCGATTGCACGGAATGTGGTTGGCCCAAACGATATCGAGGCAGCACAACAAACTAATGGAAGCAATTCTACTGCAACTAATACCGCGTCATCAGCTGCAGCACCCATGACTACAGAAACTCGAAGTTGCTTAAATGGTCACCGTTTTCTTAACTTTCTCCTCGCCTGCATGGTTTTCGCATTCGTCATATCTTGGCTTTTCCACTTTAACATCCCATCATGAACATTATTAAAGAGTTTATTATAGAGTTCTTTCAGAAGATGGTGGAAGAACTTGGTATGATGTCAACAGATCTGCTGATATGTACTGATGGTCTAGTGTCTGTCAAGGTTTCCATACATTTCTCTGAGTTACATCTGTGTTTTCAGTTTTCACAAGTATTTTTGTATTACCCTCATCTGATGATTGTGCATTTATTTAGCCATGGCCTTCTGAATACTAAGGTTTATATTTTGTATAGAATTTTCAATTTTCCAATTGGCTATCGAACGGTAGACGGATTCTAATATTCCTCTTCTCCTTCTCTTCCAAGCTTCAAAAATGTTGATTGGATGATTAAAGTCTGAATAATTTAGCCTCCATTTGGAAAGATTTTATAAGTGAAACGAATGGTGGATAACACTTGTGTGTTAATTAATATATACGGTTGAAAATAAAGTTTGACAATTTATAAATTGATTTATAAAATTACTCATGAGGATACGTGGGCTCGCATTCTTAAGAGAGAAACTGACAAAAATAAATCAAAAGGCCATCAACCGAGGATATGATATATGAATTTGAGATATAGCGTTTGTTTGAGAGAGTTTTTTTCACGTAAAAATGATTTTTTTTTTAGAACGTGTTGTTAAAAACTAGGAAAATTACGTGTCCCATAATTGTGTTGTTGAAAATGATTTTGAGAAAAAAATGATGTTAAAAATTTTCTCCCAATCAAACCCTTAAAAATTGTGCCGTATGTTTTCTGCTTAGAACTGTGTATAAATGTTTTATTTCATTAAAACTTTTCAGTATGACAGAATTAGAAAGGCATAGTCGTGTAATTTTGTCTGGGTACTTAGATTTATGTTTGGAGGACATTAAAATTTTAGTAGAGCTTCATGTCAGTTAAACTTCATATTATTTCAAATTGGTCACTGAAACCTACTCATTTGTTAAAATTTGGTCATTTTGATTATGCAGTTCGGTTACCTTATGCTTATCAAAATGAATCCCAAGTTATTGGCATAATTAGAAAAGTGTCCTTACTCGAATGAATCTATCATGGTGGACAATTGGCTTGGCCCCTTGTAAGCGTAGCACCGTTCTTTTAAAATACCCAAAAACCCTTGTCCATCTTTCAACCTTCCCCACCCCACCTGCTCCCACCACGACCTTACCACAACCCCTTCTTCCCAACTGTTAGTGTCGATTCCCACGCACCCTTACCCCAGTGGCGGAGTCATAATTTTTAGTTGACCGACAAAAATGATGTTGCAGGGGTAAAATATAAATGAGGTGGATCAAACTATCGTATCCCATTATTCCACCTAAATTGCCACGTCATCGTTATTATACCATTATAATGATAAATAACGTTATTCTACCGTGAATGTTTACTAGTTGAGCAAATCACATCAAGACGGAGACAACCCATAAAGTTCCAACTAGTTTTGGTGGACCAACTGCCACTTATTTCCCACTAGAAGAAAATTACCATTTACCCAAGACAAAAACTACTACTCAGTGGTAATATTCCTTGGTTAATAATTCATTTACCAATGGAAGCTTCTATATTGACGATTTTTAGTTGGTATTGATCAATTGTCGTCTAACTTTTGGACACCAAATCCTGTTACGAATTATTAGATCTATAAAACTTTGCTAAGACATTTGACCCTCAGAGATTCGTAAGGGCCATAGTCAGTCCATTGCTAACTATCAAATTCAAAAGTTTCTAATGTATTTGGCGATAGAATGGAGTTCTTGTTTGCAAAATCGCGACGAATATCTTGTGCATATTTCACCATTACAAAACTGTCACAAATTCGATCACTATGTTTTTATGTTTAATTCTCACAAAATTAACGAGCCTTAGTTGATGTTCAATATTTTAGGCTTTATCGAATATGGTTAAAAAGTGAGAAAACGTGTTTTGTGTACCAAAACAATACCCTTACATTGCATGTTTAACAAGATATATATGCATTTTGAAAGCTACTTAGTAAGTTCACAGTCTTCCACTTCTTATTATAGTTGAATTTGAACAAGGATATAAATTATAATTTCATGTTAAGAACTTCAAAGCTTGCCGGATTAATCTATTCAGTTCTATATCACGACCAATTTTAGGAAGAATCAACCACATTAATTAAAAATAAGAACACCACTAACCCACATCGTACTTGTAATTTCCCAGATAAGACATGATATTGAGTTCAAATAAATAAGCTAGAATAAAATTATTGGTGGATCTTATGATTAAGTTCTCCCCAAGTAAAGATATGAAAGGTCATTTTCATTTTCGCTTATTAATTTTAATTTCAACTAAAACAATTGTTCAAAACCTTTTAGCAATACTAAATTGGAATTCGAATGTCGATCCGACAAATGAGAATGGTCTTCAATGGACAATGCTACATGTACATCCACTTTTTTATTTATGCGGGCTCGCGTGTATGTGAGAGGGTGTAACATTTTCGGTACAAAAAATTCGGTAGAAATGGAATTGTCCTTGTTGTATTTAGAGCTTGTTTGATGTACAACAAGGAAATATTGTTGAGTGTTGAACAATAGTTCATGTTAGGAAATTGAAAGCTGGAGCAAGAAATACATTTGGTCAATAAAATTCATTAAAAACATGGATACCACTAACCCGACATTGTACCTATAATTTCCCAGAAATTGTATTATTAATAAACAAACCTTTGAGTTGCAGTTTATATAAAGGCAATACGTACAACTAAAATTCCATATTAACACCTTATTCTATCGACAGATATGGAACCGAGCAAAGCCGGAGATGCTTATACGAAGACTTCGGGCCCGGAGGAGGGCAACTGGTCAACTGGGTTGTATGATTGCTTAGACGATCGCTCTAATTGTAATTAATTTCAAAGATTTATCTCTTTTCCTTTTATCTTTCCATTAGTTTGCCTATTATCTCATCAAGGTTATGTTGAGCATAATACAAAGCGTTCTTCCTAAAAATATCTAATATCGTAGCGTTTACTTTGCTACTCGTGATTACCTTGCTCTTTTTTATGTGTCTAATTTGAAGGCGTGAAGACTTTCTTTTGTCCGTGCATCACTATGGGGCAGATTATCGAAATAATTGATAGAGGAACAACATGTAATAGAAATTCCCGCATTCTCTCCCTCTTTTATTTTTATATCCTATTTTCATTATATACTTACACAATCTCTTATTTTAAACCTCATGAATCAAATATTAAAAGAGAAGCAGAAGTAGTTAATGTAATTACTTTTCTTTTTCTTTGTTACAGCCAGTGAAATTGGATGTGGAATATACACTGCTCTCCACATGGTCCACTGCACTTGGTTGTACACAAGCAATTACCGGTCGAAATTGAGGGCACTATTCAACTTGCAAGAAGCACCTTGTGCAGATTTTGTGGTACATTGTTGCTGCTGTGTGTGTGGCATTTGTCAAGAATACAGAGAACTAAAGAATCGTGGAGTCGATCCCTCAATAGGTAATGCACTTGGTTTTTTTTTCAGTACATGGAAAGCTTTTACAAAGGAAACAAATAACACCGTGAAACATGTTCAGGTTGGGAAGGAAATGTTGAGAAGTGGAAAAGCGATGGAATTACCGTGCCGCCACTTTTTCCACACGATATCACCCGTTAAGCCTACTCCTCTTTATATTTGGTGGACATCTTCATGTGATCTACTATGAATCTATGACTAAATACTGTCAATTACTCTCCATTCTCATGTTCATAAGATATGTCTGATTGAAATTTGTTGAATTTGATATCGTTGTACTCACCATGTGCTATAAGTATTGAATAGTAATGATGAAATGGATTTGTTGCAAGTGACGAAGTTTGAGTAAGGGCGCAAATAAAATCATTTTAAACGGTTTGAGAAAATTTTAAATCAAACAAATATTTGCGATTCATTTTTTGTTATAAATCATAGTTTTAGCCACTTGAACAGTTAACATCTTTCAAGTAAGTGAAAAATAAATATATGTTTAAAATAATATTTTGATACTTAAATCAAACCCTTTCGAAAAAATTGGAACCGACTACAAAATAAATTTGTAGAAATATAATTTGAACTAATAAATGAAATATTTATATTGGGTAAAACAAGATTAACCTAAATCGAACCATTTTCAAACGGTTTGATTCGACTTTGATGGATTGATGCAGGTCCACAAGGACCCAAACCAACGAGTTCCAAATTACTTCTTAAACCTATTAAAGTTTTGTTTGGCTTTTGAAATAGGAAATGAGTCGTTCACTAAGCAAAGTGCAAGGCCTGTTTACTTTCCTTTTTATTTTGAAAATGATTAATAGTAGAAACCTCCTAAAAAGGTTTTGACATGCGATATATCTCCTTATTTATTGAAAATCGCAAAAAAATCTCTCGTTTAAAATCTTTTGTGCGAAATCACCCTGCAGTCAAAATTCGTTTACTGTTAAAAACAATAAAAAAAATTTCAAAATTAAAAATGAATAATTACAATTTCAGTACCCAAACTTTTTAGTTTTTACAAATTAAATTAAAATTTTCTTTCATATGTGCCAACTACAATCCCAAATTTTTTAAACTTTATTTTATACCCACCCACTTCATCTTCTTCTCAAATTTTTCCATTTCAAGCAGTGTTAACAAACTTGCAGATTTAGACTGGATTATTTTTCTTCCCTAATCCAATAATTTACAGCATTCCCAATTCATGTTGATTCGAAATCAGAGCAAAATCAACAAATAGTTACAATAGAAAACACAGTGCAATTCTCACCAAGAATATGGCACAAATTCTTTACATCATGAGGAGAAGGTACAGTCCTCGAGCTTTTGAAAACCTCTCGGCACAATTTAAATAATCTTTGCAGAGTCTCCGAAACCCTCAGTATAGCCTCTTCAGTAAATTCTCACCTTTTTCTTGCATCTCATCCAGGGGCGAATCCAACATTGTAGTTCAGCTAGGGTGGAGACAGTTGACTATTGATCGGTGACCGATGACCGTTGACCAATGACCGTTGACAATCAACTATCGTAATAATTGAAAATATAATTTAATACATAAATAAATGAAGTAAAACGTAAAAAGTATATACATATGAAAATATAATTTAATACAACCCGAAATACTAAAAAAAAATACAAATATATTCTATAACTGTAAACTTAGACAACTGCATTCTACGAGATCTTATATTTTGAAAACGTTGCAATATTGCCTCTTTCTCAAGTTTTATAAAAATATCTTTTTCCACGGAAACCATCAAATTGTCATTCAATCAGTCATCTCTCATTTTGTTACACAAGTCACTCTTGATTAGATTCATAGCAGAAAATATCCTTTCAACACTTACAGTCAAAACTAAGGTGATCAGTAAACCAACGGAAAATAATAGTAACTTTTAGTTTCAACCATTTTCTGAGTTACACAAGATATGCTATTGAGGTTAAAGAAAACTTTGTCCATTCTCACAAGCATAAGAAACTTGTCAAGTTGAGGTCTAAGTAATAAAAGCTCTTCACTATTGAAGTTCAAATGATAGAACTGAGCAAGACGTAGCAATATTTAGCCTGCTCAAAAGCTGCAAATGAATTTCTTAGACTTAAACACGCAAGCAAAGAGCTCAGTAATTGTTTCTAAAAAACGATCAAGTCTATCACAGACAATACAAATCAATATAAAAGCGAGAATAATAAGTTACATACTGAGCTGCACGCCTAGGTCGACCTTTCACTACTACAATATCCTCTAAATTGGGCACTAAAATATGTCTATCAACACAAAACTCAGTTACCCTACTCAACAAAGTTTCCCAACCATTGTCTTTCGGGTTTTGCAATGCACACTTACACAAATTTAATAACCTCATAGCATTTTGAATATGCTGATCATTTTCATGTAAGGCTTGTGAAAGATCGTCAGTAATTGCAAGAATTTCAAACATAAAGTGGAGATTAAATACCAACTCAAAATCTTGCATAGTGTCCATTTGTCTTATGGCCATTGGTTTTTTATTTGAATTTACGTCATCTTCTGATATATTAATAAAACGAGTAATTGTTATTACATGTGAGCCCCATCTAGTATTACCTGGGCACGCCAAACTCATTTCTTGAAATTGATCACTTCCACTAGAAAGTTCTCCACTATGAAGCTTCTCTAGAATATTAGAATGATAACTTGATCGAAGAGTATCTGATACAAGCTTACATGATGCACCAACCACATTTACAATAATAGCAAGTATTTTGAAAAAATCACCAAGCATACAATACCTACGTGCCACGGAAACAACTGACAACTGAAGCTGGTGAGAAAAGTAATGAACATATATAGCATATGTGTTCTCTCTTATAATTAAAGCTTTTAAGCCATTGAACTCATCGACACATTGCTTGCTCCATCATAACCTTGACCTCGCAGCTAGATATGCTCAATCCATGTGTAGAAAATGTTGCATCAATGGTATCCTTCAGTGATTGTGCACAAGTATCAATGACATGGGAAATGCCCAAAAACGCTCCTTCACTTGCCCACTTTTGTCAATAAATCTCAAAACAACTGCCATTTGTTCTTTTATAGAATGATAATGAGTGTCAACCAAAATTGAAAACAAAGAATCACATATCTCATTCATAATAGCCCTTGTCGTCTCTATTGCACAACAATTAACAAAATCCTTTTGGATATTTGGTGAAATCATTTGGGCATTTCCAGGTGCATTACTAAATAGTACTTCATTAACTTCCTGACTCCATACCAATTTAGTAGCTTAATTAGATTTTCTCCATTCAGAAACTCTTTCGATTCATCATGACCACGAAATGACAATCCTTGCATCAAGAGGAATCTAGTACAATCTAGCACCGCAGTCAATCTCGACCTATAACTTTTTTGTTGACTATTACTTTGCATTGAAATAACA